AAAGTGGTGAGTTGGAGAGCATCCTTCAATCAACATCACACTGGAACGAATGGGACCCACGTTGTTAAACCCGTAGAAAAACATTAATTTTGGTACCTAAGCTTTACGAGTTTTTCGTTACAAATATGGTATTTTCGGTTTCAAAGCTCCATCTTTGGATTTAATTATAAATTAAAATATGCATACAGGGTGCATTCAATCAGCATTCTGATTAATTTTGTTGTATTTCAAAAGTCTGTAAATATTCAATTCAGATTTAAAAAAGTCATATAAAATCTGGGTGTATTTAATTCAGATTTTTACAAGTCCTTCTAAATATGATCATATTCAAAAATTGATAAATTTTTAAAAAATTTTAATAAGAGAACAAAGACAAGAAAAGAATATGAGAAAAAAATTATATTTCTACTATTTCATAACAATATACAAAAAACGTTTTCTCTATTTACAAGGCTAAATTTCCACATCTTATGTCCAGATTTATTTTTACAACTAAATCTACACTCACTCATTCTTGCAAAGACCACGTGGATTTTTCTAGTAATATTCTTGGGTAGAACACCCTCATATTTCTCTCTCTAGATGGTGTGTAAAACCCACACACACATATCCTAAAAAAAGTTTATGCCTTTTAAAGCCAAAAGGGAGAAGAAAGCACCATACTATTCAAAGCAACCCAAACAAAAGCAACAAATACTCCATATGATTTATTGTATTTCACCCCTATGAGTAGGGGTGTAAACGGATATTAATCGGATCGGATGTGCCATTACCAAATCTGTATCCGTTTATTTTTTTCGGATATTGAATTCGGATACGGATCTTGACGGATACTGAAAATCAAAATCGTATCCGCATCCGTCGGATATCGGATATATCCGTATCCGTTTCCAATTTTTAAAATCAAATTAAACAATACTTTAATTTTAAATTAGATTAAAGTCAAACCATTATTAAACCAACTATAATTTGGTATGGGATAATTATTTTCTTTGTTTTCATGATTTATGATATTCTACGATAACTCTATATAATAAAAAGATATACACAACACACATATACACATATTTTTATATGTTTGTACATATTTTTATGTGTCTACACATTTATTTTGTATATAAAATTTCTTATATTTTGAAATATCAATAGAAAACAAAATATAAACACAAAAAAATAGGAAAAAATATATATAACGGATCAGATATTTAGATAAACGGTTATTTAAACGGATGCATATTCGGATCGGATTTTAAACGGATCGGATATACAATTACCAAATCCGTATCCGTTTAGTAATCGGATATCCTTAATCGGATACGGATAATATCTGTTTAAAACGGATGCGGATATTTTCTCTTTAAACGGATTCGGATGCGGACGGTAATCGGATTTTCGGCTATTCGTTGACAGCCCTACCTATGAGAAATCACTTATCCACATTCATGAGGCAACTTTTGTTTCTTCCTTTTGTTTTTTTATTTTTCTTTCTTCTTTTTTTCTCTTTTTTTTCATTTTGAATATTTAATCAAATATTTCCAACAATAAAAATATTTAAAAAGGAGCTGAGGATGCAATATGTATCGTATAACCAGTTGTACAGTGTTCCTCATACATTCGTGGCAAGTGCTCACTTACGAGTAGCTGAATATTTCTTTTTGAGCAACTGAATACTCGTTCTCGATCGAGTAACTGAATGTTTGTTTCTCTAAAATTCAGTTACGCTCGAAAATGAGCATTCAATTACTCCAAAATGAGTATTCTATTACTAAAAAATGAACATTCTATAACTTGACAATATGCATGTGGATGCACAGACAAAATTAGTATACATCACGAGAAATGGTACGTATAGGTACTCGAGCAAAAAAGGAGAGGAGTGGGCTGTATGAGGAAGAGCATGAGTGGGTTGGGTAGGTGGGTCAAATTTTAAAGTTGATAGAATAGACTTCTTACCATTATTTACGGAGTAATTGTCATATTTAAAAAAGAGAAGAAAGAAAATGAACCGCTCGAAAAGTAAACCAACACATTATGATCAAATATTATTGAGAAATTACAAAAGATGTTGGGCGGCCATAATATTTTGATTAAATCATTTCAGATAACACGTGCTAAATTAATGGAGAGTGAGGGCACAAAGATTCGTTTGAGGTTGTTATGCAAGCAAAGTTCATATCCTAGAAGATCCTCCCTCCGTCCCATAAAACATGGAACTTTTGCTTTTTAGGAGGGATTTAAGGGGAGTATATTTTGGTATTGAATTTTCAAAAATGTCTTTTGATGTGATGGGTAAAAGTATGATTTGATGGATAGATTATTAGTAAAAAGGTTTGATGTGATAGTTAGGATATGAAAAAGTAAGGGGTAAAAGTGACTTTTTAATAAAAATGAGAAGTGTTTTGTGGGACGGATAAAAGAAGAAAGGAGAAAGGTTTTATGGGACGGATGAAGTATAATTTACCAATAGCGCCAGAGATGGCTACTTTGATCGTTGGTACTACTAACATCATAATCCGTCTAGGTCTGCATCATCTTTCAGACTAAAGAAAACGGTCGATCTGCCACGGACAAATTTCGTGGCAGAATTTGAAATTCCGTGGAAAATTTCATTTCTGTGACGCATCTGCAACGACATTTTTCCGTCGCAAAAAATTTGTGGCAAACTTCATATCTGCGACGGAATTTAATTTCCGTGGCAGATATGCGACGGACGTGCAACGGGATTTTCAATATTTTTTATCCGGCTAAATCTGCGACGAAAATAGCGACAGAAAAACAAAAATGTATACTTCAAATCTATCTAAAGCTTTTCCACCACACAATTAAGTGTTGATATAAAAAATAAATAAACAAATAAATAATGTACAGTAAGAATGAATGGTGTACACTTTATGAAATAACTCGGACTGTCATTAGTCCAAACTCAGACCGAACTAAAGATCGAAATTTATCACAATGAATACCGAACCTAAATGTATACGATTCGAGCCAAAATATTTTAGATCGATTTGAACAAAATATTTAATTCTTTAAAATAATTAATTTTTCATAAAGCAATAATACTCCTATTTATTTATTCATAATAGTGATTAATTCTTGTGCGTGTTTTTCCGTCATTGTTTTCGTCGTAGATTTAGCCGGATAAAAAATATTGAAAATCTCGTCGCAGGTCCGTTGCAGATCTGCCACGGAAATTAAATTTCGTCGCAGATATGAAATCTGCCACAAATTTTTTGCGACAAAAAAATGTCATTGCGGTTGCATCGCAGAAATTAAATTTAGCACGGAATTTCAAATTCTGCCACAAAATTTGTCTGTGGCAGATCGATAGTTTTCTTGTAGTGTATTAGCTCTCTTTTACAATTTGTGAATCATTTGATGTAGAAGAAATGGCCTCTTGTATAATCAAAATTTTCCATTTCAAAGATGAAATAACATGTGCAAGAGATGGCCGGGCTTATTTTGGCAATTGTAAATAGCTTTAACTTTTCTTCATGGTTTAAGTAATCCCTTCCTCATATGAATCACTTTGATGGCCATGATATAGCATTGGTGATGTATGACTATACATTTTCTATCTACCCATTATTACTATTGAGAAAGAGACAAAGGAAGTATCAATGCAATATTTATGGTTTACCATGGGTTGAGAAAACAAGTAGTACTACAAAAGAGGGTGAAACTAATTTTATTTTTTATTCATGAATAAGATTTGACCATCACACTTTTATAAAGGGAATAACACATATATTTTGTATTCCCTCCCTCCAAAAAAATTCTATTTCCAAATCACCCTAAATATGACAACTGGCAGTAATTACCACATCAAAAATGTTAGGGGTACACCAAAATGTATACTTCAAATCTATCTAAAGTTTTTCCACCACACAATTAAGTGTTGATATAAAAAATGAATAAATAAACAAATAAATAATGTACGGTAAGAATGAATGGTGTACACTCTATGAAATAACTCGGGCTCTCACTAGTCCAAACTCAGATCGGACTAAAAATCGAAATTTATCAGAATGAATACCGAACCTAAATGTATTTACAGAGTGACATAAGAGTTGTCAGCCATATTCCCATGTGTTCCACACAGTCCATCCCTTCCCCTTCCCCACATTCATTCATCTCCTCCCTCTTTAATATATACACTCCCCTCTCCCCCTTCTTTCTCCCTAGTTTTTATCACCCACACTTCACACAACCTTCCAACTCCCTCTCTCAGCCTTGGGCATGGACGGACAACAACAGCACAGAGAAGGCGAAGGACCGGCGGGATGGGAGAAGAAGAAGAGAACGAAGAAGAGGTGGAGAAAAGGAAGGAGTTCGTACTTTGAACACTCGTGAGACGTAACCCACCGTTTGTGTCATCTTCGTCCTTCAACCATCACGTGTTAGAGGTGAGTATGTTGTCTCTCTAGCATTAGAATTTGTAGTTGTATTCGATATAGCTATATATATTTATAGGATTTACTTGTTCTTAATCTATGTCATATCTCGTAGTTACTTTGGTATCCATTACGAACTACGTAACTACGAACCTAGATCGAAACCACCAAGGAATATTAGATAAATAAGCTCTTAAGTGTTCATGTGTATAACGTAGCAGAAATGGAAGAAATAGGTGTAAAAAAACGTTAAAACGAAACACTACCTTGATCGCTGCCATCGTGACGGTCAACCGCTGTCAAGGACAGTGGACCGTTGCATGGTGTCCGGGGTACTACCGATGTCACGGTCGACCACTGTACCAGCACGAACGGTGGACCGTTGTGTTCTTCTGCAGTTCATCACCTCAATCGTCCAAGCCAGAAGGTATGAATGGTCTACAGGCACGGTCAATCGTCGAAAGTCCTATCTCAATCGCAGCGGCTAAACGGTCGACCCTCGTGCAAACGGTCATCCGTCATAGTCTCATAATCTGTGCGAATCCTGTTTTGTAAATCCTTGTCTAGATTTGACCTTAATATTTTATCGAATATGGTTCCTTCAATTTACCACTGAATGTTTCCTATCATGTATGTTATGTCCTTGGACTATTCCAAAGGTTTGTATGTTCATCACGCATGACGTAGATTCATGAAATAGGAAACCATTCATATCATGCCATATCGCCTAAAGAGGTCAGACCCAGTGCGCCTCTAAACGCGGGCCCGTTCGGGAACCTTCGATCTGACGGGTATCGTCCAGGGGCTTTGTGTACGTACATGGTAATATAGGTTTTTGGATACCATCCACAATTATTCTAGTCTCGTTTTGAGACTAAGTTTTTCCCGAATCATAACCATCGTGGTGTGATCTCAAAGCACAAGGGGACCTTGCACGGCGAATTATATTCATGCATCATGAGGCTCATATTGTTTATTTATTTGAAGCACTATGTGATACATGTACGTTAAGTACAGGTACAAATATGTTCGTATCTATATTGTTATATCGCCACTGCATATTCCCTTGCTAGAGTTACCATTCTAAAGCGTATAGTTGTTGTCTTTACTATACGCAGGTAGGAATGATGAACTTGAAGCCTATCCCTGAAGTCAACGAGAGGGAGGAGTTGTAAGGACGGGTGGACGTGGATTTGTTTTCTTCTCTTAAACTATCCTGTCCTTATCTTTTCGGGCTTGAACCCAACCTTGTCGTATTTTATCATGGATTGTTGCTTTACTTTCAAAAGCTTCCGCATCGAACATTTATATTAACTCCGTTATGTTTGATTGAACTGTTTTATTTGATTTTGTTAAAGTCATTATCTAAAGGGGTTTAAAATAGATGTTAAAAATACCATTTTAGTAACTACTCCGACCCATCGGACCGTGAATAATCGGATCTTACGAGTTGGGGTGTTAGAGTTCATTCTGACGAATCTAGAGAAACTGGTTAGGTTACAGATGTTAGTAAAAAAATCGTTTTTACTATCATATTCAATTTGCCTATTTTTCAACCACGTGATGTAAAAGACAACTTGTTACCATGACCATTCAAGAGGTTATATATTGGCTTTGTGGATTAAGAAAACTTACAATTATTTACTCCGTATAAAAATTATCATTCTATAGTGTTTTATTTTACAGAATATTTATACGAAAAAAATAAACATTATTTTTTTAATAATAAGTATGAATAATTTATTTCTAAAAACTTATTGTCATCTATCAAAATTAAGAAATATTTACTAATTACTCCGTATAATTTAATACAGAGCATGTTACAATTCATTTTTCTTCTATTTTTTCTTATTTCAACCAACAAATATTTGTGTGAAATCTTACATACTCTCTCAGTCCAAAAAGAAAGTCATAATGATTTTCCTAATATAGGACCGTATATTTTTATTTCCCAAGATAGGACTTTTGGTCATTATCAACTAGTCATTATTCAAGTAAATGTCTAGCATTACTGGATATTATTCCTCCCACTAGGTCATTATTAAGTCCTATTTAGGGAATAAAAAAGTTTAAGTCCTAAATTAGGAAAGTCATTATGTTTTAGTCCTATTTAGTGCAAATTTCACATTAAAAAATGTGTGAAAGCATATATATGTACAATGACATTGAAAACAAAATGGAGAATGGAAAAATAAAATTTAAAAAACTTTGATTAATTTTAAGGAAAAGTTACCCAAAATAATCCCAATTTTACCTGATCTTTCAAAAATAATTTCACCTTTCACTGTGATGCATAATAATCCCAACTTTATTGAAATTTGTGAGTTTTGGGTCGCCGTTAAGTTTCTAACGACGGGTTAACGAAAATGCATGTTTTGCGCAACAAAATGAAAGTTAAGATTATTTTTGATGAATTTTTGTTTTTTAATGATAGAAAGTAATTTTAAAATTTTAAATGAAAAACTAAAAAATAAAAAAAAATGAAAATTCATAAAAAATAACTTCAACTTTCATTTTGTTGCGCAAAACATACATTTCCGTTAACTCGCCGTTAGAAACTTAACAGTGACCCAAAACTTGCAAATTTCAGTAAAGTTGAGATTATTATGCATCATACTGAAAGGTGAGATTATTTTTTAAAGAACAGGTAAAGTTAGGATTATTTTGGATAATTTTTCTTAAGTTTAATATAATCGTTAGTGTCCAAGAGTAATGAGAAAACTCACCAAAGTTCAAGTTCCAATGGAAGTGGAAGCTTTGACACACTCATTGGTTGGTTCAGATCAATATCCAATCCAATTTTCAAAAGAAACATTAGCATATCTACACTAGATGATTAAAGAATCATTGGTCATTTGGCCCAACTTGATTACTACAAGTATGATGTGTTAATAATTGTTAATTTATTAATAATAGAAATCATCCTGAATAGGACTAAAACATACAAAAAAGTACCAAAATAGGACTTTCATATTTTTTTCCCGGAATAAGACTTTGCACTGTGGTAATGTGACTTTGCATTGTGATAATGTGGCAGTGTACACGTACAAATTACTATACTTTTTTGGTAATATACATGATCATGTTTGGTAATGTAGTCCTATTTCGGGAATAAAAACATGAAAGTCCTATTTTAGTATATTTTCAATATTTTGGTCTTACTTTAGTCTTTCTTCCTATTAATAATTGTCTCACTAATGGAGCATCACAAAGATCTCCAAAAGTGTTGCGTAGAAATGGGACCATGCTACACTTACACCAAAAAATGTACACCACAGTTATGCACAAACATTTTGATGGTTTACACCGACACAAGTGTTGGTACGTTAACAAAAATTTACACGGACACAAAGTATTGATGCGTTAATAAAAATTAGTTTTACACCAACACAAAATGTTGGTGCAAACCTGCGGGGTACAAATTGGGGTAAACATAGCTTAATCCGTAGAAATGTGATTGACTTGGGGGGTCATCCAACGCAATTCAATGTTTGGAAAGTTCACGTGGGAAGGAAATGGGCCTATTCTGTTCCCTTTTCCCATTTACTCTCCGTATAGTGTCACCATTTTGTGGTGTTGAAATGTCACCCTCTCCTATACGGCGTTAGGCCATGTCCAACAAACTGCTACCTACTAGAGGACCCCTTCAAGAATGCACCATGAAAGCCATGTCAAACAAAAAAAAAAACTAAATCTCTTTTTTATGTATTTTATGGACACCACTCTAGCAAGTCTTTTAGATTGTTACTCACACCATCTCAAGATAAATTGTATATTGTGAAATTTGTTCTAAATAGTACTAAAAGATATGTCATTTTCCAATGTAGTATTAAACTATTTATTCTCTAAATAGTATTTGAAATCTTGAATAATGTCTAGTGGCGGGAACAATGTCCAGTGATGGTGGTCATTTAGTTTGAATAATATCCAGTGGCGGTGGACATTTACTTGAACAATGACTTGTGGGCAATGACCAGTGGTTCTACATTGGGAATTAAAAATATATCGTATTATACATTGAGAAAGTTATTATGTTTTACTACTATTTAAGTAAATTCCCCTTTTATATTTGACTTTTTATGTTAAGTTTTTATAAATTTTGACTGTAAATTGTAAAAAAGAGTATGTGTAAACATAACCCCCTCTATATATGCTTGTCGTGTATTCCATTATTTCTTGTGTAATATAATTATTCCATTATTCAATATGAAAGAATGTTATTGAAAAAATTTATTTCTTTCTCTTCTCATCAAAACATAAAACTACCTCTATCCCAGTGTATTCAAGTAGTTTGACTTTTTCAAATTTTACTGAACGATTTTTGAAGGTCAATGAAATAAAAATTGTAATGCATATTAGTATAAAAATAATATCATTAGATATATCTTGTAGAAATTAAAATTTTTAAAATTTTATTTCATTATATTAATATACTACGTACAATATATACAAATTTAGATAGAGTAATTGATGATCAAAATTTATCTAATTTGACTCAAAAAGGTTAATTTGGACGAATAAACTACAACAAAAGAATATATATATATATATATATATATATATATATATATATATATATATATATAATTAAATGGTAACTTAGCGTTGGCGTTTTGAAAAGGCTATCTGACGATAGCCTTTAGCGTTAGCGTTTTCAGAATTAATCTACACCATTAAAATTTTTTCCAAAACGCTAACGCTAATCGAAAATGTTGTTCCCAAACAAGACCATAATCATAAAATCATTTCAAAAAATTAACTCTAATTAAAATTGTTGTTTCAAAATTATTTTTTCTGTAAATTCAATTCGGTAAATTGTCCCCGGAAACTCCCAATAATGCACTAGTGGTAAGATGTGTTTGTGTAAACTCTACTACTTAATTGCAAGTAGAGCAACTTCTATATTACTCGATCGTACAACAAAAGATAAACCCATAAATGGATAGGATTGGGTTGGAAGTAAAAGGCAAAAATGGCATGCTTAGGCAAGGAGATGGAATGATATTACCACAAGCAAACTATTAATGAGGTAAATTATATATTGTGGTACATGGGAGAGAGACAATTGCATTACAATAGTAACACTTAACTAAATAACACTACCAAGTTTGACATCACATTGTAAATCCGTTTTAAATTAAGTTGCATGCATGTTTACTATTCACATATTTTTCTTACGTATTTGATAAAATAATATGTCATGTCATCTCTTATTTCGTAAAGCTTTAGTTTTGATGTAGTTTTGTAACATGTAAATTTTATCTTTTTTAATTCTAGTCCAATTCTCAATTAAATTGTATTGAAATAATTTCAATCAAATATCGTAAACCAAAACAGACAATTTAATTTAAATTGGCACAGAAGAAGTAGAATACAAGAAAAACGCAAAAAACACACCAAATTTGACATCACGTACGTTGTTTGTAAATTTGTAATGCACGTACAATATAACTTTGTGTCTGAAATTCTATGTATATACTCCCTCCGTCCGGAAATAATGATCTTCCCATTTGATTTTTTTTGTCAAAGTTTGTAAACTTTGACTCCGATATGTGGAAAGAATACATTGCACTAGATATAAGTTTAATACCAGTATATTCGTATTGAAACGTAGTTTTGACATATTAATTTTTTTTATAAAGTATATCTATATATAAATATAAATATTAATTTTCAAAGTGCAACATAGGAGACCGTAAAAAGTGAAATGAGAAGAACATTTTAGGAGGAAGAGAATATCAAACTTGGTATATATACCCAAATTCATAGAGATTGTTGTTTGAAATTGGTGTTATTGTAGCATGAGTAAGGGAACAAAAGGCCATTTGCAAAAAGGCCATTTGCAACTTCATGCATGTGTTCCTTCTTAGCTTAGAGTAGCATTGAAGACTATATATGGTTAGGAAAGTTGAAAGATTTTCAAGAACCATCGTCTTCAAGAACATGGGGATCAGCAATAATGTCTCCAACCTTCTCCTCCTCCTCTTCATCATCGCCGCCAGAACACTCTGCACCACCGCCGCCCACGCCGTCCACCGCCGTTCACTGCAAGCGGTTAAGGAGGAGAAGGGCGGGGGGAGAGTTGTGATGACGGCGGCCGTTGTTGTGTCGGCTGTGGTGGCCACTTCCGCCTTTTGCGCCGTCGGCCTCTTTTGCAGATGCCTAAAAAGGTTGAAGAAACCGAAGAAAAATGAGAGTGGGGTAAAAGAAAGTGATCATCAAGAAACAGATCATAATGAAATAAATATAGCCGTTGAAGAAGAAGAAGAAGAAGATTCACTATCGTCGGACGAAGAATCTTTCCATTCCGCTTGCAACGAGATCGCCGCAGAGGTCATCACCCACGCGCCGCCGCCGCCGATCCGGAAGCCAGAAGAGCAGTCAATGCGGCCAAAAGGACCTCCACCTCCTCCGCCACCGTCAAAACCTTACAAAACGACGCCGTGTTTGGGGAAGGATGGGAGCTCGCTCCCGAGACTGAAACCTCTGCGTTGGGAGAGTGTCAAAGCTGCTCGGAATGTTTCGACTGTGTGGGACCACCTCAAACCAAGTTCCTTCCAGTAAGATCCATTTTATTTTTGGTTTGGTTAAGTAGTTTGGTTTACCATCCCTATGGGCTATGGCCATTCATGTTAAATATTTTGAGAGGAATTTACTTAAATAACACTAAAATATAATGACTTTTTCTAAATAATACCACATGTATTTTTCTTCCCAATGTAGCACTTTTAGTCATTATGCATTAGTCATTATTCAAGCAAATATTCGTCATCACTGGACATTATGGATATTATTAAGTGCTATTTAGGAAATAAAACAATTTAAGTGCTATTTAGAGAAATGACTTAAGTTTTAGTGCTATTTAGAGAAATAACTTAAGTTTAGTGCTATTTAGTGCAAATATTTCATATTTTCACGTTCAAAATTATGCGAAAAATATATAAAAAAATATTTAAATAAAAGTTTTATGGTTTTATCTCTAAAATAAAAGTTTATATTGTGGTAATATGACACTATATATGAACATTCCATAATATATTTGGATAATGAGTATAGTTATAATTGACACTATGTATAATGTATTTTAACTTCTATTTCAGTTATAAAAACATGAAATTTCTATTTTGGTGTCTTTCCAATATTCTCCTCGATCACGAGCTTCACCTTTGTTTTTCAACTTGTCTTCATTTCCAAAATTTCTTTTTTATTTAAATTTTTTAAATTAAACCTCACATTTTGGTCGTATTTACAAAAAAATATTAAGTGTTAATGTAAATTTAATATAATTGGATTTACACTACAAGAATCTGCCAGATTTTGCAACGGAAATCTACTACGGGACTTATTATGTTGTAGATTTGCGACGGCTCTATGACTGATATTCAAAAAAATGAAAACCCAGTTAACATTTGCGAGAGAATATATGGATCCGTCGCCGACTTGCGACGGGGAAATGCAATCATATCCTACATGTTGTGGGATCCGAACCTTGCAAAGTGTAGCAATTCTACCCCTTCAAGAATCAACTCAACTATGCCTGCAGGCACNCCCCCCCCCCCCCCCCCGTTTTTTACACACCTAGGTTGTCTTTGATTGTACCACATTGACCATCGATGCATTTGTGATGGCATGCATATGTAACAGATTTGACGAGGAAATGATGGAGTCATTGTTCTGTTACAACCAGCAAAACTCCATGAATGATATTGACGCCAAAAACAATAAAGCTTCATCATCCCCAACGACTAATAACAAGCACCTTCTCGAGCCCAAGAGATTGCACAATATAACCATTCTTTCCAAGGCTTTGAATTTGACTGCAGACCAAGTTTGTGATGCGCTACTAAAAGGTATATATGGAGTTCCACCGTTTCGAAATAAACTTTTCACTTTGCTTTTTTGTTGTTTTCAAAATAAATTAAAGTTTTTATTCTTTTTAAAGAATGAAATGGGTGGTCTACAGCAATTCTCTTTCGTTTGCATCAATTTCAACAAAATATTTTCATTTTCTCTTAAGTTCTGTTAAACAACAGGTGGGATCGGAACTTTAATCTAGGCCGAGGAAGTATGTAATATGTTGATCTTCCAAACTTTTCCATGTGATTTGAGAAAAATACCCTATTTATTAATTGTTTAATGATCCTATTGTATGAACATAGGAAAAGGATTGGTTTTGAGAGAATTGGAAGCATTGGCAAAAATGGCACCAAACAAGGAAGAAGAATCAAAACTTTGGAGTTATAAGGGAAACATACATGAGTTAGGATCAGCAGAGAAGTTTGTAAGAACAATATTGTTGGAAGTGCCCTTTGCTTTCCGAAGAGTTGAAGCCATGCTTTATCAAGAAACATTTGGGGACGAAGTTCTTCATCTCACAAAATCTTTTTCAACAATAGAGGTTACTCAAAAGAAAATGTGTTACATTAATAAATAGTCGGTCTTATTTGACTTTTCACATTTTCTAATATAACATTTTATCATTGATATCTTTATTTATACGTAAATGTATATTATAAAAATCTAATTTTTCAAATATATGTTTCAAAGTTCAATTCTTCAATAAATGGTCAAAGTTTGAAGAAAATTTGATTATCAAAGTAGTTGGAGACACTAAAATTTGGAGTAATTAACATGAAATTATATTTGGAAAATGGTTGAAGGAGGCATGCAAGGAGCTAAGATCAAGTAGATTGTTTGTGAAGCTACTCCAAGCGGTGCTAAAGACCGGAAACCGAATGAACGCCGGAACGATACGTGGCGGAGCCACCTCTTTCAACCTCGACGCCCTCCTCAAGCTGCCGTACATCAAGGCCGCCGACGGCAAAACCACACTCCTCCATTTCATAGTCCAACAAATCATTCGATCTGAAGGCCTCGATCTCTCCCACAGCATAATAGGCAAGATCCAACACCCATTCGAGGAATACGACTTCCACAGAATGGGCCTGGATCTCGTCTCCGGGCTAGGCCTGGAGCTCTGCCACGTCAAGAAGGCCGCCACGGTGGACTTGGAGTCGTTGTGTCAGTCTCTCACCCATCTTTCTGGAGGAATGAGTGACATTAAGGAGCTCTTGCAAGAGGACTTGGCGGGCCCAGACCCAAATAGGGACATTTCGGGAACGGGAAACGTCACTTACTTAAAGAATGTGTCTGAGAATAACTACTTTGCGCAAACGATGAGAGCATTCTTGAAGACCGGGGAGAGGAGGTTGAAGGATTTGAAGGAAGAGGAAGAGAGGGTTTTGGGGAGGGTGAAGGAGATTAGGGAGTACTTCCATGGAGATGATGTGGCTGGGGGAGATGAACATAAGAACCCGCTGAGAATTTTTGTGATTGTTAGAGATTTCTTGGACATGTTGGATCATGTTTTTAAGGAAATTAGGAACTCATCCAAGCATCCCCCTAACCCTTTATCTTCTTCTTCCTCCATCACATTCATTAGATAGTTGGTTTGAAATTTTGGCTGAGTTTTGTCAATAATAAAGTGAATGATTTTGTTAAACATATATCAAATATTTATAATAGGTACAAGTTTAACTCAATACATATACTATAGAGTAAATTCCATAAAGAGTCCCCAGTTATAGTTCGTTTTATATATTTAATCCCTACATATCAAGTATCAATATTTTAGTCCCCAATTATTATATTGTTTTTACAAATGGTTCTTTGTTAATATTTTTGTTAAAAACGTGGATAAAATTGTAAATTCACGCTCCTCTCTCTCTTCAACCAAACTTTCTCTCTCCTCTTGCACTCCTTTCCCACACCTGTCGCTGAGTTTGAAGCTTTGAACCCAAATCCGAAATCATCACTCTTCTCCCAATTGTTCGTCTTCTTGGTGGAATCCAAAATCAAAATTAGTAACCTTCATGCATGAGTTTAAAGGTTTGCTTTTTTGTAATTTCCTAAGACTAGCCCATAAAACTCATTCATGAAAGTTATTGGTTTCGATTTTGGGTTCCACCAGGAAGACGAAGAATTGAGAGATAAATGATCGTTTCCTTTTGGGGTTTAGAGCTTCAAACTTAGCAACGAGTTTGGGAATGAGTACGAGAGAAGGGAGGAAGCTTAATTGAGAGAGAGAGGAGTGTGAATATACAATCTTATCCATATTCTTAACGAAAATGTTAACAAAGGACTATTTGTAGAAAACAATATAATAATTGGGGACTAAATTATTGATATTTGATATGTAGGGACTAAATATGTAAAATGACCTATAACTGGGGATGTTTTATAGAATTTACTCTATTTTATATATATATATATGTGTGTGTGTGTGTGTGTGTGTGTGTGTGTGTGTGTGGGGCGGTTCCCGTGAGAATGCACCTTATGGAGAGAAATGAGAATAAAATCTTGCCATTGGATCTAATGCATCGTGTGGCTCAGATTGCATCCTGCGCTCAGATTTTGAGATTGTGCATTTTCAAAGGGTTTTGGTGCATCTCGACGTGATGCATTTTCAAACAATTTTAATGCACCTAATTTTGATGCAATCCTGACCCTTAGATCTCACAATCTAAAGCACCAGATTCATTCTCATTTCTCTCCTAAGATCGCATTCTCACCAGAAGCAACATATATATGTGTGTGTGTGTGTGTGTGTGTATGTGTGTGTGTATATATATATGTATATATATATATATATATATATATATATAATTGTTTCTCTACCACTTTTTTGACAGTCTCTTGACTGATTCGAAAATTCATGGAGGTAAAAATTTACCATTACCACGGAACGCCTATTAGGGGTGAGTTCGGTTTTGGCGGTTCGATTTTCACTCAAAACCAAATAAAGACAAAACGGAAGGTGAATTGGCGATTTGGTTCGCTTCGGTTTTGCATAAAAATATGTAAACCGTTGTTATTCGGTTCGGTTTTATACGGTTTTAATTTTGGTTTTTTTTTTTTGGTTTTTTTGGTTTATAAAAGTAGAAATTGTAAAAAATTGTAAAAACGCTAACTCGATGAAGCAATAACATGTAGTATTGGGTTTGGTTTTTTTGATTTGATTTTTACACAAAAACAAAAACCAAGAGGAAGATTATTGTTCCGTTCGGTTCAATTTTACATAAAAAAATGTGTTGAGTGTCGAACAAACATTTAGGACATTCCAAATACTTCCAAAGACATCGTATGCCTAATCAATTGCGAAGAATTTGTATTTTTTGGTATAATATTTTCATTTTCATTATAACATCAACGTATTTTTTGTATGTAAATATGTAAATTACTAATATCAATTTTTAACGTTAATATAATTCTATATCACGATTAGCTATTGATGTTTATATTCTTAGGTTTTTTTAAAGTTTATAATAATATGGCTAAGAAAGTTCGATTAGTAATTTATTTGCATTTATATTTATATGATTTTTTCACATATCACATATATTCATATAAATAAAGTGAAGTATATAAGAAAGTTCGATTTATTCGGTTTGGTTCGGTTTTTCAAAGTGAAAACCAAAACGGAACCAAATACTAATGGTTCCATTTGGTTTTTTACATTCTGTTTCAGTTTTTTCATATCGATTTTTTTTTCTAGCTCGTTTCGATCAGTTTCGGTTCTGTTTGGGATTTTCAGTTTTCCCAACCCAGCCATAATGCCTATGTGCACTCCCTCAAGGAAGAGGCTATTAAAATTCCAGATCAATCAACCATTACCAAGGACAATGTCAGCATCCATATTGATGGTGTTCTCTACATCTCTTCTAATATGACTTCAAATGTGTGTTCAAAAGTTAAAGCTCCTATATGCAAATATCTATTAGTCTTTGGAACTTGTTTATAGTGCTCTTGTGGTAAATATTGCAGATAGTTGATCCTAAACTTGTTTCATATATGGTTTACTGTGGAATTAAGCTTTAGAGAGGAATATATAATTTCAGACTTTTCGTCACCTAAAACTCAATTTGAAACTTGAATGTTGATGAAGTACACTTACAAATACTCACAACAAACCTCCATTCAAACAGGAAACAGTCAAAACAAATGTATGATGATTGATAGGCCTCAATTAAATTTAGCATATATCAATTAAATAAATAAATCAACCAAACATAAATAAATTACACACAAAAGGATACATTTAGAACAAATTTAAGATTCTCTTATCAAAGTATTATTGTAAAAAATAAAAAAAAGAAATTCTCTATGGAGAAGGGAAACCTGAGAGATTAAGCCCCTTGAAGAGATGAGTATCTTTCTAGGTTTAATACCCTGAGTCTAGTGAGATGTCTCCTAAACTACTTCGTCGATGGGCTCTGGAGGAAATCAACCCCTTGAAGAGATGAGCATCGTTCTAGGTTTAATACCCTAATTCCAATGTACTATTTAAAACTTTTTATTCCCTATATAGTATTTAAACAATGTTCATTGGCATTGTCAGGGGGATCGAATACATGCGTGCCCAAGTCAGAATTCCTGTGAAATGCGCCCAACTGTAGAGGTTAGCCCGTACTGGCCAATGTTTTAAATTTACAGAAAATGATGAAATTTTACGAAATTTTTCAAGTACATGGGAAACCATGTGGTAAAATCTTAGGTACAAAAGACTCATCCATAAAATGTAAAACTCTGTCTTTTTAAGTTTTCGGCTCAAACTCTTAGGCCTACCATTATCTTTCAAATTTTAACCAAATTTGGCGTGAATTCTTTTTTCCACCTACAACTATGTGGTCATATTTCATGCATAAAATGCACCGAGTATATCACTATTTTTTTAATTTTTGCATCAAGCTTGTTGGGGTTCAGTCACACTTTTCTGCCAAATTTTCAAAAATCAATTCTAGGTTTTGGTGTTGAGCACTTATGGGCACATATTGCTTTTTCGACCAATTTTCAAATAGATCAAAGATTGAGAGAATATGGCTTGAATGTTTCCTTTTGAATAATAAACATTTTGGTAAAATTTCATGGTCAAATCACTCATCTATACACCGCAAAACTCTATTACAAGACTTAAAGCCCGGCCCAACCTGGCTTGTACCATGGGCCTATCATCCAAGCCTTAGCCCGGCCAATTAAAAATCAATGGGCTTCGGGTGCTCGGGCCAGCAAAATTAATAACCTTCTAGTTCGAGAAATCAACCCATAAAAGAACATTGGAAGCAATGAATGGTTATAAACATTAAACATTGCTGGTCATTTAATTGGAAGATATAATTAAAGCAAAGTATGGGATGTCCCGGAGGCCGTACCCCAAACCCACTACCTCATCTCCTTCAATTGCATCTCCCGATAATAGCTTCTTGTACGCACTAGAAACGTGGCGGCCTATCTCGATTCCTACCACTCCTACCGCCCAGTAAACACCCCCATCCTGCACCCACCCTGAACCCACCGCCCCACCTCCTTCAAGTGCATCTCCCGATAATAGTTGCTTATTCACTCTAGACACATGGCAACCTATCTCAGAACTAAACTAAGATTATACCATGATTTGATCTCCTCACTAAATCCGGAGAATGGGGCAAATGGGGTGAGCATTCCACCTAAACATGCCAAACCAGAACTTTGAAGCAAAAAAAACACAGATAAAGAAACACAGTAACGCCACAGGACTAGTTTTATAACACAGTACGGCAACGGTAAGCCACAATACAACTCCAAACTTACAGCCATTCAGTCTATTTTGCAAGAAAATATATAAGGAAATTTAAAAGCATCACAACACAGAACTGCAGATAGAAAATGAACAAACACCCCTTTCAGCTGGTTTCCACAGGACTCAAGAGTCGTGCAATCTTAGCCGTGGGCACCAACGGAAGATAGGAAGTGACCTTGTACCCCTTCTTGGCGCCCAATTGCACAGTCTGGTTGTATCTCTCAGACAAGTAAGAAGCTGTGGGAGCCACGGCTCGAGCAAACTTGGGAACAAGAGGGAGATGGTTGAGGGAGCGCCAGGCTGAGGACGCATATTGCTCAGCCACAAGCTCATACTTGAGGTATAGCCCCTTGGCAGCGGGTTCATACTCGGTGTACACCGATTTTGCCAGTGTAGATGCAGTTCCAATCACACCGGTGGTTTTGACATCAGCAACAACGGAGCGAACAACAGAGGGAGCCCTCTGTGCTGTTATCAGAGCCTGGGTTGATACCTGTTTCACAGATGGAGGGACATGGTCCTCAATCTTGTGGACCGATTCATCGACCTGCATCAATGAAGCAGAGCTTGAAATCCAATACACAGAATAAGAATGCCACAAAGCAAAGAAACATTGATGTTGCTACAATCACCATGGTCATCTCCAAATAGGAGCTTAATGTTCGTTTTCTACAAAAATATGAACTAGATGCAAGTTTTCCCGGCTGGTCTAAGAAAACATTAGGTATCCACACTAACCCTAAGCCTCTAAGACCCCACCCCAAGAACCCATAAATCTGGAACCCTGACAGGATCTCCGTGAGTCCGTGGCTAGTGGAGAATATCTGATTGAGAACCTGCGTTTACAGCTCTTGGTTAAAGGTGCATCCCTTTCCAACTATTAATTCACTCCTAACTAAGAGGCTAGGGATTCGGATCTCTGCCCGCAGCAAAATCCCACAGAAGTTTCACAACTCATAGCTCTAATGAG